AATGTTTCAGATGGTTCAACAACAGAATGGATTTTCCTAGCAGGGCTGTGATACCAGGATTTTAACAACTGTGGAAAATATGTTTTCCGCACTAAAATTAGGGGATTTGCTTGTGTGTGTAGGACTGCCCCAGAGTACTCTGAACTGCAAACTTCAGCATTAAGAGTATGTGGTATAGTCTAAGAGAAATGCAACTTTAAATAAGAGGAGGGGGAAGCATTGGAAAAAAAGTGAAAGGTGAGTGAAAACAGCGAATTGCACAAATTAACATCATTAATGTTGCGGTGGCAGGCTGGCTGCATTTGGGAAGGCAGGAACCGATCCCAGCCGGAGGAAAACAAGGTCTTTGAGCCCTTCAGCGTGTTTTTATAAACTTGAGCACAAAAAGAAACTAAAACATCTGGCACCAGGATATTATGCAATGTTGTTTTATGCTGTTTTCATTGTCTAAGATTCTTCAAGAAGACTGTTAACGAGTTGCTTATTGTTGTCGCATCGCTGTCCTGAGGTGCCTCTGTGCAAGTGAAGGGGCACGGACTTCTCTGAATCGCTCCCTTCAGTGCTCGGAGGCCACTTCTGTGCCAGCCAGTTTCCCCTGAAAGCTTTCGCATGCAAGAAGCGCGCGAAGCTGCTCCTTGAGCCCCTGCAGGTCAAACCTCTGCAGGGATATGCAAGGTGGTGTAATCATCCCCGTGCTCTGGGAGGGGCTGAGCAGAAAACGGGTAGAAGTGGTTAAAAAAGAAAAGTTGGTACTGATCAGCAGACATACTGGCATATCAATTTTATAGCGGATAGGAGCGTGGGTGGTAGGAGAGCCTAGCTCACACACGTTACTTCAGGCCTGTGATACGCAGAAACGGATGCCTTTGATGTTCTCCTTCCCCTCCCCTTCCCACCGGGCTGGGTTTGCTGCTGCTCTTCCTCGTCACCTGCTGTGTCAGGGTAGGAGCAGGAAGGCCACGCTGCCTTGAGTGCTCTACGTGTGTGTGACTTGGTGTACGGTCTCCTCCCGCCCTCACTTCTCAGCTGCCTTCAGCCCAAAAAAGCATTACCCTCCCAGTGCTCAGTGCTTACCTTTCTTCCTGCTCTTGCTAAGCCGAGTGGCCCTGGAGCCTTGTCTTGGAAGCCGACACCTTCCTTTTCTCTGTCATCTGCTCGTGGCCAAGGGCCACAGCTTTGCTTCTCCCTTTCGTTCTCTGGCTGGCTGCTTGCTAACTTTAATAACGGTGCGATGCTAACAGGCCTGGAGGTGGCTCTTACCTCAGCTTCCACTGCCTGCTTTCATCTCCCCATTCTCCACCTTTTCCTTGCGCTCGTAATTGTCTGCTGCTTACCTGACTGCTTGTGTGTTCTCTCAGCCTAAAAACCACCCGGTCCAGGTAAATTCTCTGGCTGAGAAGCTGCTCATTCTTCTTTTGGATTCATTTCTGTTGCTAACAGCTAACTCCATGTGCCGAAGCCTTAGCTGTGCACTCCTCATCCCAGGGCTGTAGGGGAAGGGGACCCAGCTGCCACGTGGAGGAAAGCTCCAGGTTGGTGCATCTGAGCTGTCCCACCCCTGAGGCTGCCATGTACTGTGGCCTTCATCTGGGACATTCAGCCCTGCTCCCCTCCTCGGATTCAGTGTCTGGCTTCCTGCAAAGCCCCTGCCTGATGGAGGGAAGAGAGCGGAAGGGAAGGTAACCCACCCCTGCAACCCTCTCCCATCTCACCTACCCCCTAATAAAAGCCCACACCCAAAGTCCAAGTCAAAGGAAGCTTGGAGCCAACAAGGCATGCCCTTGAGGGTCTGCACTGCTCTCTCTCTACCTTGCATATACCCATCATTGTAAAACATCTTCCTCCTACCATTATGGCTTAATGACTTTCCCTTCAACTTCACAAGAGGTATTAATGTCTCCATTAACAGCCACCAGAAATGGAAGCTCCATATATCACGAGTGCAGCTCTGTGTCCTTCTCCTCGTACAGAAGTTTCAGAAGCAGTTAAAATGTAGCCCTGTAGAAAATTAATGGCCCAATATACAAAATCTGTAATTGCTGCTAGAGGCGAGGAGGAGGAGAAGGTGGAAGTGCTTAATCTTGGTGTAATTAAGTACCTTGTTCTGTGGCTGCTTCTCCTGTGTGCCAATGGGATGTAGGACTTGTGCTTCACACACGAGGGATGGTGGGAGGCAAATGGTCTCTACTTAGTGTTGTTTGCCCAACAGAGTTAAGCATGAGGAGAGGTGCTGGTGCATGGCTCTTCTTCCCGTCGCACAGCCTTGAAGGCTGGGGTTGCATGAAAGGGTAGCAGGGGAGGAAGCAGGAGCTGCCCTAAGCCTTCCCGGAAAGATGCTGTTCAGAATATTCCCCCCTGCCATTGCAGTTTAAGAAATGGAAAAGCCAGGCGGTGGGGCAGGTGAGCCCAGTCTGCTCTGCCCATCCATTTCTAGTGGGGTGGCTCCAGCCTGTGTCGCCTTGTGGCGATGGGGACGTTGGTGGCGACCAGCAGTGCCGGGGAGCTTGGCCCTTCTGGAGACAGCCCTGTAAAGCCGGGGGGGCTGGTCCTGGTGGGGCAGACGGGGACGCTAGGATAGTTGGAGCCTGCTCTGTTTTTTCCCAGCCCTGTTTCGGAGAGGGGAGGTTGCAGTTACTCTTGTAATGGTCTGGGGGAAGATGCAGCCATGTGGCTGCTGGTCTGGTCTGCCTTTACAACCGGTACCAGTTGGCTTTAAACTGAATTAGTTGCCTGTAGGCATCGGGTGTTTTGACAGTGCTTGTATGGGTTTATAATGGTATAAAGCTGATTTAGCCTAATTTGTTGTCGGGGTTTCTGGGGCTTGTGGTCTAAATTCAGTTAAACCAGACCTCTGTGTGCAGAGTGGGCCGGGAGGTAGCCTGGGCATTGAAGTTAACCTGGGAGCACTAAGAGCTCCCAGTAAAGGCCTGCGAAGGAGAGGAGGGAAAACCTCAGCACCTGCAGCCAGTGTCACCAACAAGCGCTGCTCTGCCTGTTGCAGGTGCCCCGTGGCCAGCAGGAGGGGTGCACATCAGCTGGATGCCCTCCCTCCCTGGGGAAACCTACATTTTCAGAAGGCTTTTGACACTCTGGAACGGGCCCAGCTGAAACAGAGCAGGGCAGTGACAACTGGGATGGCCGTCCCAAGGGATGTCGAAATCCCGAGCCTCTGCACTGTAATAGCCAGAAGATGACACATTTCATCAGCACAGCTTCTTGGAAGGAGCAAAACAAAGTAGCAGAGTATTTTCAATTAAGAAAGAAAAAAAAAATGGTCAAATGACTAAACATTAATGAATCCATCAACACTTTACGCTCTTCTGAACACTGTCAGTTCTGCCAGCTTTGGGAAAAATAAAAGGCTTTAAAAATACTTAAAAAGCAAGAGTTTGACAGAAGTTCATGCTACGCTTATGTGAAAGTCCTCCATTTTCATATTAAGCAAGAGGGCAGCGATCCTTCAGCCCAGGAAAAGAGAAACGGCATGCCTTTCCTAACCTCCTAATGCAGATGCATCTTCTGAATAGTGAATTGGTGTCTGCTGCCATCAAAAGTTTCAACAGATTTCGGCATGACACCGGTGCCTAAGGGTGTGATTAGACTTCTAACCCTGAAGCCGCTTCTTTGGGCAACTTCTCATTGCATGAACATCTGTAAAAGCCTTCCCGAAACTGTCCAAGAGGCATCTTGGAAGTAGCTTGGCTGCAGCTAGGTAAAGGAAGGCACAGTTAGCGTGCGACGGCATCCAGCTGATGGGTTTACAATGTCTTTTTTTTATTTAGACAGTACTGGTGCGGTGCTGGGAACGTGTCATTTGAAATAATAACAAAAGAGTTTTTCTATGTAACAGGTATAGCCACGAAAAGGCAGCACCCACCGAAAATTGTTCTCCTGCTCTCACGTTCGTCCTTCCGTCGGGAGGGGTTTTTACAAGTGAGCTGTGTGGACTTAAACGCCGACAAAGAATAATGCACCTCCAGCTCATTTCCATACACAAGTGCAAAACCGTAACCTACCAGAACTTTTATTTTAATTGTACATTCACATTTCTCCATTGACGTGGGCAGCTTGTACATGGCCGAGTGATAAAGTTACACAGTTCTGCTCTTTCATGTGCATTGATTTCAGCCATCAAAGAAACTTAGAAAACTAACAATAAACAACTTTTCCATATATCTGTAGTCAGGCTGGGAAAAATTATGTGACTCTTCCTTCCCCTCCTGCCCCCCCGGCAACCAAATTCCCCTGACTTTTAGGCTTTTCTCTTTTAAATGACCGCTAATATTACTTAGTATTTTAAGACGGTTTCCTACGGGTCTCTCGCAATGAAGCTGGTGTTCGGTGCGCACTGGGCTGTACCGCTCACTCGTTCTCACTCCTCCGGAAGCTCGTTTGGGCACATCGTTAGCGGCTGTTGTGACGTGCACTCCGACAGTTCTGTGGGACAGTATAATTTTTCTTAGCCTGTTATTTTTTCTTAACATTTTAGGCTCATCACAAGTCAGTTGTGGCGCTTTACAGTTTACAGACTTTTTGCCAAACCTTCTCCGTACACTGAAAGCGATTCAGAAATGACCAAAAATGCTGCAACCAATTAGCACGTACAAACATTTATTTTGAAATTTCCATTCCAACCGTTATGAAGAATTACATCATCAAAGCACTTTATGGCAGTGAAAATAGCTCTTACCCCTCTGACTCATCCATTACTCCATTAAAGCTGCAAAATGTGCAATCTGCTTGAAAAATAGGTTGCTTTTTATTCAGTTTCCCATGAAAAGTCAAAATTCGATAACAAAAAAACGAAAAGGGAAAAAAAAAAAAACCAACCCAACCCAGCTTATAGGGACTCTACATCCGCTCCTCTCCCCCTTCCCCCAAAAATAACTTACAAAGATAGTTTAAAGTTTTAAATGAGTTTAAAACCAAGTGCATCTTTTTTATTATTTTTTTTTTCTTCTTCTTCTCATAATAATCTTAAAATTCTAAAAACCCATAATTTACTTTCTTGGAAAAAAGGCAGCGAGCCGTTGCTTCTTGATTGGAAGAATATGTATCTCCAGCGAGTTCATTTTCTTTAGCTTTACGCTCCTGTTTTTGACGGGTTTCCTGAGGGCCTCGGCGCTGTCCCGGGGCTCGGGCGGGCTCTTCACGTCGTAGCACTGCAGCACCGAGTCCTGGGGCAGGTCCCTTTTGAAGGAAAAGTTTTTGGTGGAGACCCCTGACAGGCCCTTGATCTTGCCGCAGAAGATGGTGGGCACGGCGTCCTTGACGGAGACGATGACTTTGGCTGTCTGCGAGGTGCTGACGATCTCGATGTTGTTGCCGGCCTTGGGCTCGCAGCCCGCCCTGCCCGCTTGCTCCACCAACCACTTCT